AGCAGTTGTTCGACCCAGTTCTCGCTGCGTCGCTGAGAGGACGATCGGATGATTCTTATTGTTCAATTGAATGAGCATCGACGCGCAAGTAAAACATTTGTTAAACATTTCGCATTTGTCAAGAACAGCTACGCCGAACGTTTAATCAAATAAATAAAAAAATCTAAAGTGTAATGTATAACAAAAAAAATAAATTTTTCGATAAAGAGAGCTTTATGCGCTGACACCGACACATATAGAAACATATACGTATACAAAAGGTTTTCATATTTCGTATTTGTCTCACACAAGCACATGAAAACGTTTTATTATTTTATTGAAGCATTCATGGAATGTGTTCATTAAAAAAAAATATGTATACATATTTTTTTGTGGAAAAAAAAATAGCTTTTGAGTATGCGCCTTTTGGTTTGTTTTCTGACACTGCAATCGCGGTGCAATCTCCAATCGAGCGAGTGCAACGGACGTGCGTATTAACTGTAATTATACCAAAGCCTTTCTAGTTGTTTCGTTGTAATAACGAGCGCGATACATTAACGACAACGTTATGAAATTCCACATTTCTTTGACGTCATTACTGCACGTCAAAGATCGAAAATTCATGGAAGCGGCATTATCAAGATTGAATTCCGTAATTCCTACACGGGCAAATATTTGCACGACTGAAAATCACGCTGATGACGCCAGGTATGCTTGATATTTGGCCACCAATATACGCATAAAATCATTTAGCCTCGATTCATTTTAAAAGAAAAATAACTATTCACTATAAAACACGAAATCAATATTTCCGTCGCATTACGCAAGTGGAGTAATTGCGAGATCAAATTTTTCTTAATTTTCTCTTCTCTCTCTCTCTCTCTCTATTTTTTTCAAAATCAATAATTTTATATCATACTATCGAGATGATTCACGAAAGAACGCGCTAAACGATAATAAAGATGATTCGTATATACTCGCAATATTCAAAGAGACTCGAATAAAACGCGAAATTTGACGATGGAGTTTTATACTAGAAGAATCTCGTGTCTAGGAAGAAAGACCGTACCCTTTGACTTAGCGCACGGCTCCGGAGCGATACAGTGATTTTCCGGGACGGTAGCTATGATTTTCAGACGAGGCCGTCTCTCGGTAAGCGCGAACCAAAGTCAGTTGAACGACCGGTAGACATCTTTTGATGTCGAATCACTCTTTCCTTCTCCATCGACTCGTTTCTTCTTCCTTGCACACTCGTGGCGAACCAACTGAAAGGTTCCTAGGGCGCGGCGCGAACGCACTCGGCTGCCGCATACACTTTATTCCCAACCCATCGTTCCGTCCCAGCGATTTCGAATTCCCGAACAAATTTGATCGTCGTCGTCGTCGTCGTCGTCGTCGTCTAGTCGAGCTCACATCTCTACGTGACGGGAAAATCGCGAGCTTGCTCGCGCGTCGGAAAGCCACTTCTCTCTCTCTCTCTCTCTCTCTCTCGTCAACCCTTCTCTCGTCTCGGTATGTATACCCTCATCCTACTATCCCTCTCCTATCCTCCCATAACAGTCCTCCTTTGTCCCTTTTACTGTCTCTCTCTCTTTCGTCTGCCACACGTGCTCCTCTCCTGTATTTTCCTACTTCTCGCGCTTCGTGGTTCTACTTTAGTACGCGTGATTGTGCCCTGACGACTTTATGGCGGGTCCTCGGCGGAATCCCAAACGCGGCACGTACGCGAAGTTACCGATTCGAACGAGGCGAAAGCTCGAAAAGGCGCGAGATGACTTTTCGGTTCATTCGACGGGCAATCTCACGGCAATCTCTTGTACAACATAATTTTGCAGCCAATAACACTACTGGCAGCTTCTTTTCAAGTTGCGTTGCAATAATACCGGTCGATTTTTTTTTAGTTGTATTAATCTCATTGATGAAGTATTCGTATGTAATAATTTCAGATATGATATAGAGGAAAAGCTGATAACGTGCACTGAGAGAACAAATTTTTAATATTTGTATAATTAGGTACATATTATTATATTGTTATAATATGATTATTATTACTATAATGTTAGTAATGATAACTATATTTATAATTCTATCAATGAGTATATTTAGTTGGCAATAAAAAAATGACTAATTATGTCTCTGAAGACTTCGTGTTCGCGATCGCGATATAGTCATTTTTTGGGACAATCATAAAATATAATTGATCCATTTTTGTGGAAATATCCCGCGGAAATAATTTGCTTATCAAAGAATACATATTTACGTCTTAGAATGTTTTTAGATCAAGGATCGCCGGATTAATTAAAACTTTTAAGAAATCAAATTTGAAATACGAAGTGCGTGCTATCGGTCGATCGAGGATTGACGTCGCGGAGAATTCGTAAGCAGATTTAACACGCAATGGAGCTACGGTGAATAATTAACGCAGTATCCGCGGGCGTTGATTAAATTTCATGCGTCGGAGTAGCAAATTCATAAATATCCGCAGCTGCGCCATTTCCGACAAAGGCGGCTGCAACTTACGACGACGTAGCGAAAGAAAATTAATGACTACAAAAGATTACTCTCCGGACTCCGTGGCTGTCCGATGAAATATCATAAATCGCGGGCTCGCTATGTCTGAGAAGTTTTCATAGCCGACCGCTTTCGTCTTTCTCTCTTTCTCTCTCTCTCTCTCTCTCTCTCTCTCAG